GTTATTTTACTCGCGAAACTCCTTCCCTCCCTAGGCTCAGCTGAAAAATTCTCTCTCCTCTACGTGGCACCGATTTTGCGCGAGAAGTTCTTCAAAAGCCTCCCCCTCCTTTCAGACGGATAGACCGTCCTTGTGCATTTTGTTTTCCCGATTCCGGCAGAGGATTAACAGTGCGGAGGTGGTTAAGGGTGCTAGAAGCCTAGAGATATTACCTCTGTTTGTCTGCACCCTTTATACTAGCAGGAAAGTGGCGCACATAATCATCTCAACGCTTTCGAAGAAGCGACAGAAAGAGACTAGACAGACGAGATATTATATGCCCCCCTCCCCCCAACTACGTACGCCTTTGTGCCAAGCTCTTGAGCCCGTTGCTCGTTGATTGATGTAATATCCTACAGCGAGAACAGGCAACTTGACAAAAAAATCCAGCCAACCACCGCCTGCAAATCCACAGATTATTCAGGTCATTGACAACTGTGATGAATCGAAGGAGTTTGGAAATGCAGGGCCCATGGCAATGAAATCCTTGAATTTTAGCGGGCTCCTCTGCTATTTTTTTAAAGTTGTTCTTCAGATCGAGTAATGCCTGAGAAGAGTGTTCCAAACTCCTCTCATCAACTTTACGTTGTTCGTTTTGTTCATTCCACCTAAAAACCTACGTAGCAGCCAACAACAAAAGATCACAGCTGAGAAGAGATTTTTTCTCTAATTTCATCCATCTGCCCTTTTGCTTCCCATTTATTCCAGCCATATCTCCCATTCTCATCTGCCACGGGATATCAACTCCCAACAAAGCGCTTGCCCTTTTCCGATCGCGATAACCCTCGTACAAGTTCGCAACGACGATTGTATAACGGTGGCGTAATCTTCATGAGAAAATCCATCAGCGGTGAGCCGAGCCCAGGAAGTTGTCCGGGATTTGGCCAACGGCAGTCCGTCCACCATTAATCGGATCGGTCATTTCGACATCGACAAACAATTGAATTCGAGCGCGTCTTGCACGTAATTACGACCATGGCAAAGTTCTTACTAACTAGACAATGCGACCGCACGAGCAATGTTGATGTTCGATTCCGCGTAATAATGGCATACCGTTCGCGGGTGAGAAATGGAGCATGCGACGTGCTATAAGGTGAAAAACGGCCTTGGTCGAATTGCTTCGCTTGATATCATGTGGGCTACGACCAATCCTGCTGGAAAAGCCTTCTCTAGCTCCTCCTTGCTCGAAGAGCAAAACTCTTGGAATGAAAAAAGGTGCTGAAAAATGTGGGAAATTCGGATAGGATTAGGAAGAAAAGGAGGTCGAAACGAGACCCTATTTCAGGTGGGGGCGTCACATATCCGTCCCAACAGACAATTTATCAAAGGTTGTTAGAGAAAAGCTGTTGCAGAGAAGGGGCATTAGGGAGCAATGTTAATTCGTTAGATTGCTAAAGGTAGCTTCAAACTTTGGACTAAATCGGGGAGGCGGGGCGATAGTTTACATCGTGGAAGTGGAGTGTTGCTCATTTTGAGCCGAGCCTTGGTCCATCCATTGATCGCAGATGAAACAATAAAGCTCCAAGCGCCCACCCTTGCTATCTCTTCATGGGATACGTCTAGCATTCGGTATCCATTCGGAGTCGTAGCGGCACTTTGGCAGCGGCACAATTCGGCCCATGCATGATTTCAGGGGCCAGCAGATGTGCGGACCAATAATTTTATCCTTGCAGGCTAATTCTGTCCTATGGAAGTGCCCTGGAGGATCGGAATGATCGCGCTGAGAATTGAGCCGGGATTTTACCATCAGACCGGGTACACGACAAGTGGCGCCACTTGCGTCGAGGCAGGCCCGGCCATTGAGGAAAAGTTGCACAAAATACGACTTCCACATAGAATCTCTTCTTCTTGTGAAACCCACGCTTCCTGACCCCCAATCCTACCTAACATCTTCCTTAATTGTTCCAGATTTTTAGCGTTTTCCTGCATTTTTTTTCGGAACTTCCTCCATATTTTCCAAAAAGCTGGCACCGAACGGTAGTGGGGATGGGGCCCAGGGTACATGACGCCCATGAAAGAAAATCGAGAGAAGCCTACAACTAGAAGCATTTTTCCAAAGGCAAGTCCGGCCTCACGCCGACATCTCTCCCTCCACCCCCCCCCCTACAGCTGGGGATCCCCGACATACGACGTGCCAACTTGCCATTACACTACCTCCGCCCTTATAATCGCCTGTGAATTGCAAAATTCAGACAAACTCACAGGAGATTTTCATTCGAAGACTTGAGGAATCGTGAGAGTAGCATGTGCGATGATCTCTCCAAGATCTCTTCAGCAGTAAATTCCGCTTCTTCTCTCCAAGAGCAGAATTTACTGCTGAAGGATCGCCAAGGATACTGTGCACGTGAATAATTGCATTTGGCAACATGGTAAGTAATTCAGTAGCTCTGCGTGACCTCACTGGACACCGGATCGGCTGATCATAAGTTTAGTAGTCTCTGGTGTCATTAAACCTTTGCCGCTCAAAGCTTTGATGATTGTTTATTAAAGCAACGGTGGATTTCGGATCCGCCACCGCTGGCCCCTTTGACCTAAGTAAGCAACTGGTCACCGATTACAACAGTTACACTGAACCGTTGAAGCATATGCGATGACAGGTGGCCTGGTGGCGAAGTACTGTAAAAAATGAGCACGCAACAGCCGTTATCTCGATTGGTGAGCGTTCTCGATGGGTCTTGTTGATAGTACTGGTGGGTGAGATATTAGAGAATTCGTGCATATGTCATGAATCTGTGCAGAACGTTTGATCTATGCCTGCGGTGGCCCACGTTAAACCTTATAGCTCATGAAAACGATTGGAGTCTCAAGTTTGTAGCTCACAGACTCCACACGGCTTCACGACCTTAGGAAAACAGGGATATTTTTTCAGTCCTTTAGCTGAACTATGTAGACGTGGCGCGACCAAGTCTCAAGAAAATATTTTAAGTTTAGCTGTTATAATGTGGATGTCTACCGACTCTGTTTTTTGACATCTCATCCGACATTGTGGCACGGTGTGCGTATACCGAAATCTAAGAAAATTCATTATTCGTTGTTGAGTTCTTTGAAAACGCCTTCTCGAATCAGGTGTCGCAGTCGTTTCTAAACCTTGAGTGAACACTCGAAGACGAGGAATAGTAATGGTGACCGCAATCGCTATCAGGGGCTCGCTGAAAAGAGTCATCTCAAGTCGGACTCCTGCTGCAGATCGGTATGCATCGTTGGAAGAATACCATCAGGCCGTATTTGGTCGCTGGGAGAGGGTGGCTGAGTCCTTGAGGCAGAGGTGAGTCTTTATTGAAAAACATGAAAACGAAAATCCGTGAAGCTGACTATAAGACCGAACTGCTGGGTGACATCGGCACCCATGAACAAGTCCTATGTGAAAGTTACAGCTTTGCACCATCTCTGCGTGGGAATCGAATGCATGCCGCCACGAACACGAAGAGATAAGCGATGGTTACCTCACTATTCGCTCATTCAGTTCGAGAACAGTATGCACTCTGAAGACATCCCAAGATTTCCAAAGGAGAAGGAGTCCCAAAGAAGACCGCCTTTCATCCATCTCGATGCCACACCCTGCTTGAAATGATATTACATGACAGCCGCTAACCATGTTTGCGCGATTGGCAACGAAAACCATGAAAAGGAATGGGTGTCAAATCAGCACATCGAAAATGAGCCACAAATGCTTAGTATTTTTCGAGTTTCTGAAGATAGCTGTTTTTATGTCGTGTGAGCGGAATGAAGCAGCAGACAATCACTGCTGCTTCTGAGAAATGTGCTGTGAGAGAGGCCTTTTTTCTTTAAATATCTCACCCGTCTGCTCCGAAAAGTAGATTGCTCAAGCAGATTATGAAGTGCGAGAGCTCCGCATCATAATCTTCTTGAGCAATCTACTAGGAGGCAATGTCTGCATTAGGATGGGAATAGATACCTTCTAGAGTTCGAAAACTAGGGCTATCTCTACTAATTCTGCTAGCAAAGGCCCCGTCAGATGCACTGCGGTTTTTATGTATGGAAAAAGCTCTTTTCATTCCAATGTTCCATCCTCTCAAACTGGGAGAGTCATGTTCATGGGGAAAATGGCAGTTCAGTACGGCTACTTCCCACCGTTACTGTTTCGAGTACAGCCCTTTTCAGCGTCATTCTCCTCCATAGCTACATTTACAGGCATTCTCCGACATTGTACTGAAGAAATACAAATTGCGAGACATGGGCTGACGAGGAGGATACTAGCTGCACCTGAAAACCCGGAAATTGCCATTGTTACCCAAAATTCCCAAAATGGACCCATCTAGCTGAGCGGAATACGACCTCACATTATTACTGCCAAGACGACGCGAATATGTACACTCCAGTTCGCTGCGGACGGTTGGGCGTGTCAGGCAGTATGAGTGTGTCACGCCGTCAAAGCCGTTCTCTGCCTTCTTGTTGAAGCGCGCATGCGACAAAAAGTGGTAGAAAACGAGTAATACGAACGATATGATACAGTCATATCACTTGCTCGCTTTAACAACTGGTGGAGAACGGGTTTGGCACGCGCCAAACTCATCCCGCCTGACACGCCCAGCCATCCACAGCGATCTACACTATGCCACCTTCTGTTGCGGTTTCTTCAAGCATATCGTGCTCTACACATAATAAATGGTCTCGTAAACGATTCAGTTGTTAAGCGTTATTCATTTATTGAACTTTTATCAATACAGCATAATAAAATATTTGACCCCAAATATTACGGTCAAGCTAAGGCAAAGCACCGTTCTGCGCTACCAACAATAGGAAACTAGCAATACAGGATGACTTCAAGAAGAATGACAGTTTGATTCACTGTAGGGGTGGGGCGGAGGCTACAATGCCGGGCTACTCCTAGGTAAATTCCTAGGAAAACAAAGAGAGAAGCTTCACGGTTATATAAGAGTTTATTGTGATTGTAATTGGTGCGCTAATAATATCGTTCTCAGAAAACATAAACAACGCCACTAGGCCTTCTCTTTCTTTCCGAATAATTTTCCTGCCATCTTTATTCCCTGCTGCGCAACATTGCCGCTGGCGCCTTTCTTGAAGTTCTCGAAGAATGTGGACAGAATCTGGAAGGCTTGATGCGGGTCCACGTTGTACTTCTTCGCTGAAAAGAAAAAAAAATTGAAATAAAGCTCTATAGGAAAATTATTC